TTCCCTGGTCCCCACATAAATCTGAAAAAAGAATATGAGATTTTTGGTCAATGAAAACTAAAATCCCATTGACCAACTTTCCCCCCTCTCAAAATCCAAAAAAAGAATGCCCCCTTAGTGTTATTGTTGGGTGGGAGAGCCCCATTGACATCCTGTAGGTTATCGAACATGTATCAACAGCCAAAGTTTTTTGTTTCGATTATTTTTGTTATGTTCAGTTTTTCACCCAAACAAGATGGGGGGTTGTTTTTTGGGAAAAATCTTTGATAGGGAAAAGATATAGTGTGAAAAGAGTTTTGACCAATCAAAACCCATCCATAAATTTTGATAAAGAACACCTGAATCATTATCACGTTTATAATTCTAGTTTATTAGTGAGTTGTTTTTCCTATACCCTTTTTTTTCTTTTTTAAAAATTTGGATAAATTTACGGAAGATACTTTATTAAGTTCTATAATATATTTATACTATTATTTTTATTATTTTACATATTATATTTAAAAATTTCATGCAAAATAAAGTGACCAAGATCCCAAATCACCAACATAAAAATCTACCTTAATCATATAAGTATGATTAGGTTAGAACTCAGTACCAACTTGGCCTAACATGTGTGCTTATGATTAGAAACTCAAAACTCTTCATTCTTTACCTTCTAAAATGAAATATCCACTAAGACTGTTTGGTTTGAAGGAAAAGGTAGGTACAAGGTTTTCTTACCTTTCCTTACCATTTCCTTCAAACCAAACATAGCCTTTTTTTTGGGGGGGGGGGGGACAAATGGCCGGGTTTAACACATATGATAAGGTTACATCATAGGCCCAGGCTTGGCCTGGACCCCTGGCCTTTGTACAAGTTACAAAATAAACTAAAAATTACTATCAATTCAAAATTTAATAAAAATTTAATAAAAATCTATCTAACAATAATAAAATTAAAAATAATGAAAAATAAGTTAAAAATAATATAAATTTACTACTTTTGAAATTTGTTTTCATTGATTTAAATGTTGATGATGCACGTTTTGGTAATTCCGGACTTAATAAAATTAAATATTAAAAAAATTATGACAAAGTTAAATATTAATAAAAGTATATATGGTTCCTTCTGCTTCAATTTCACTTAACAAATACTGACACTTACACGACTAATATTTCTCATATTTCAAATAAAATTGGTTGAATTTGATACGGTTATTTCAAAATATTCAAAACCATGATCCTCTCTCCCTCTCCCTCGGGAAGAAAGTTGGGCAAAGACTGACACATACACGCACTCCCCAAACAGAAGGACGAAACACATCTCTGCTTGGATTTGATGGTTGCACCACCCTCCTCCTGTACAAGTACCTTTTGATTTGATTGGTGGGTAGGAATGTAGCTTGAGACGCGTAGCTAAAAACAGAATTGGGGGAAAATTCTACTCTCTCATACTTAGTGACATTGTACCGGTTCTTTGACCTCACCAAAGACTGTTCAGTCCTTTGGGGCCAAAGCCAGACTCCTAGATCCATGCCGGGGGCTGAGGAGGTGGGGTGGGGGCTGTTGTATATTGGAGTTCAATTTCCTTCTTTCCACGATTCCATCAAATAATTCTATTGGAAAGACACTTGCGTCCTTCACTAAGGCTGTATTTGGTTTGAAGGAAAAATAGGAAAAGGTAGAGAAACGTGTACAAACTTTGCATAAGTTTTCCTTCCTCTCACTACCTTTTCCTTCAAACCAAACACAGCCCCTATAGAATCAAAGCACAAATAAAAATCCAATATTGAATTGTTGGCATAATTACTATACCAACTGTTTTGTGACTCACTTTATTAACTCCAAAAACCATAATTATCACTTTTTTTTAGATATTAAAACATTTATCTTGTGTTAATAATTCCACCCATTTTATTACACATCCATTGATTGATTAGTATATAAACATACTCAGTTTGGAATTTTGGATACAAATATGTAGAGTATAAAACATTGTATTTTGTATGTATTTGCTTTGTATATATTTGTATTTATACTTTTTTCAAACTGAGCCTTTGGTTAAGTTTTGCATATCAAAAACTGATGTAATGTTCGAACCACCTTCCTCCTACGTCAATTTTCACTGTCTTGCTGGGAATCACATTATCTTGCTCTCTGCATCACAAACAAATAACCCCCCTTCTACCTTCATTTTTTTTTCATATAAGATGGGAACCATATCATTTTGTTCCTATTTTACTTCTCATAAATAAATAAGACAGTTATATATGAAGCAAAAGTAAATCAGACTTTGCACTCAACCTATTTGCATTCCTATACATTTACATCAATTCAAATGACATTTGTGCTGCAAACCAATTGAGCCTAATTTAGTTAGAACAACCTTACTATCCAAGTCAAGTAAGAGGTAAAAAAGAAGTCAGTCAACTACATCGGTGGTGCATATAATGTACGTAAATTTAGTTCCATGCAAGGTTTTTAAAACTGAACCGGACAATAAACCAATCAGGGGTCCAGTTTTTGGGTTAAACAAATGGTCTGTTCTGACAAAAAAATAAAAAATATTTAAAAAATCGACCAAACCATTTTCCAAAATTAACAGTTTTTAGAGAAATAACGATTCTGAGGTAAAATAGACCGATTCCCAATTTTTGCGATCCAACCATCGGATCCGGTCCAATTTTGAAAACTATGGTTCCATGCAAACTCTTATAGCAATTCAATTACATGTGCAAGTACAAACACGATAAAACATCCTTACAAACACAGTTAGGGTATTATTAGTGGTCCAACAATAGACATATATGAACCAACTGATAGTGGCTTTGATAAGTTATTTGGTTAATTGATTGTAGCCAATACTTGAGATAAAAGATATCAAATACAGTTATCGCTTATCACCAGGGTTGGGGACTCTGGGTACGTTCGGGGGACCGGCTACCCCCTAGTTATATAGCCCATGAAGCAGAGGACATATATAATAGAAGTGAATTACTATTTAAGTTGTTTAAGGAGCCCCAAAAGTTCTTGTAATATGCAGAGTTCAAAATTTTGATACGCCCTCATATAATACAAGCGTTGTATTGGTACTTTCAACCTTGAAACGATCCTTTGATTTTAGTTTTTTTTTTTTTTTTTTTTTTTTCAAAAATAGCTCAGGGGATAAGTCTTAGGCCTGTTTAAACCCTGAAATAGGTCAAGACTTTGAATTCTGAAATACTAGTATTTCATATATTGATGGTCATCGATACATTAAGAATCTGTCGATATGTGACCAAAATTTTGAACCTTGGTAATATATTTAAAATAAGACTATTTTATCGATAAACTTTATATGCATATATACATATATACATATATACATACATAAAATAAGACTTCTATAGATGAAAAATAAAACTTTAACTATCAACATTATTTGTAAAATCCACCAATTTGAAGTGAGACATGACAAATAGGCTATGAAATTAGACATTGTGACCAGCTTAATGCCAATGAATCTATTTTCTGATAGAGGGTTTGGATTGTACGAAAGAAAAAAAAAATGCCTCCTTATATGTAGAGTGCAAAACCTTATTATATTTTGTATGTATTTACACTGTATGTATTTGCATTTGTACTATTTCCAAACTGAGCCTTACAAAATCCATTATGGAGGGTGGAAGTAAAGCCATGTCATCGTATTAGAGAAAAAAGCTTAAATTAAGTTTGTATTAGGGCATGAATTATTTGTAATTTTGTATCATGTTCCTTTTTGAAGTGAAAATGAACTCTAGGGGAGGGATTTAGTACTAGCTAGTTGAGTTATTTTAGTGAAACTCCCTTAGTCTCTTTAAGGACTTCACGTGACAAAAGCAATTTGGATTGTGGAATTCATACCCAAAAGAACTCCCTTGTTCCTTCCACACCCCTCGTTCATGCAAAAAACTTCCGACATGTTTAAAAAAAGCCATTTTTACGATCAATCTTCTCTTTTGTGTTTTGTGCTTTTGCTTTTATATTGAACTCCTTATTTCGCTCCTACCAAGCATACAAAACAGACTCAGGAGTGAACATTCAATTCAGTTTATTTGAAAACAAACCAAATCAAAGATTTAATTTAAGCCAAATTTATTTTAATACTTATAGTCACTATCATCACCTATTTCAAAAACTATCAAACGGCGTAAAAAAGAAAAAGGAAAAAACTTCACTTTCCAAGTTTTGTCGAGGGGAATTGGAGACCATATATTCGTCCAGGACCATTTATGGAGCTTACTTTAGGCGTATGGGTCCACTCCCAATCCGAGTGGCCAGACTGACAGTTTAGACCTGGTTGTACATTTCCTTTATTTTATTCATTCAACTGAAAAAATAAAAAAATAAAAAAAATCCTGTACGTACGTGTGCATGAATGAGCCCAACAAAAAAAATTATTTATGAATATTATTTATTAAACTGTGACTCTGGGAGTGCCGAAATGAATTAAAAAGGTCGAATGTTTGTGGGAGACAACAGTACAARTTGCTAATATATATTAGTAATAAAATAATGGTGGTTCACTGAGTTGAACTCAGAGCTCCTACTAATTTGTTTGACGTAGTAGGAAAAGAAAGGGAATGAGATTTTTCTTTTATGCACGAGTACTCAGAACCCGGAACAGAAAAGTCACTTTTCTAACAAAGCAAACACGCTTTCTTAACCAAGTAGAGGACCCCAGCCATCATTCAAATATCAACTCAATTCCCATAATTCACTTAACCCAAAACAAAGACATTCTTTTAAGAAATTTGACAAAAAGGCAAGCGCATAGCAGAAGCCCATGCAGATGCAATGCGACGTTCATCATCTCTAAATGAAGACACATTCTTCTTATCCATTCTCCTACTTCTCCCATCACTCACTACATTACAAATTAAACAAACTCTCCCATCTCCCCTTCTAATATTCCCCTCCTCCAAACCAAAATCCATCAACACCATGTGGACCATTTTCTGAATTCGTAAAAGCAATAAAAAAAAAGGGGTTCCGTATTTAATTCAGAGAAAATGACCTAGTAATTTAGCAGATATTGGAGGGTAATTTGGTATTTTAATCTCCTGCTGTTAAACAACCAATGCAGCAGAGAGAGAGAAGAGAGAAGCTACACCGAAGTCTCAGGGTAACGTTCAAGCTATCTATTACTCATCCTCTCCTCCAAATGGCATTGTTGTTCTGAAAAAGTTATTTCCCTTTTCCTCTGCGACTTATTCTTCTTCACTTTCTGTTTCCATCCTAAGTCCTACTCCCTTTTTATGCATTTATACAACCTGTTCCTCTTTCCGCTTCTAAAAATCTCTGGGTGAAGATTGAAGAACAACCAGCAGGAAAGCAGAGGAGAAATGCTCTCGAGGGTTAATGGTGTTAACAGTGTCGTTTGGATGGATGAACAAGGAGAGGACGAAGACGCGGTTTCGTGGACGAGGAGCAATGGTGGAGGAGATAACAAGGACGACATGGGCTCTCTATCTACGTTCAAGTCCATGCTTGGGGACGACTGGTATGTGAACGGTAACGGAAACCCATCTCACCACGACTTCCAGAGCGTCCAAAACCATCCAGAAATCAAAGATATTGCTTTCCCTTCGAACCCTACTGCAGCGGAGAGTCTACTGCTGCAGCCAGTCGACTCTTCATCTTCCTGTTCTCCGTCGTCCGTGTTTAACCTCGACCCGTCGCAGGTACAGCCGTTCTTGCCACCCAAATCTTGCTTGTCGTCGCTTCTTAACGTTGTCTGCAGCAACCCCTTCGACAATGGGTTCGACTTGGGTTGCGACCCCGGATTTCTCGCACCGTTGCATGGGAACCAGACTTCGAGTTCCTCTGTTCTGATGAGCAGGGGAGCAGGTGTTTTGAATGGGTTCGGCGGGTTGAGTTCGCAAGGTCAGATGGATACTCCCGATTTTAGTTCTAATTCACAATTTCCGGCCACCCGATTGCTGCCCTTGGGCGGAGATAGCACCACTGTGGGTACCGGTTTCAATACGACTGATTTCGGAGGTTTTGAGGGTTCTGCTAATAACCTGTTCCTCAACAGGTCTAAAGTTTTGAGACCTCTCGAAATTTTCCCTCCTGTCGGCGCACAGCCCACCCTATTTCAGAAGAGAGCTGCTCTCCGGCAGAATTCAGCCGCAGCGGACAAAGGGGGCAACTTGGGGTTTTTTGGTTTGGAAGGTGGTCAACATTCAGCTAGGGTTGAGGGGAGCAAGGGCAAGACGGAATTGGAGGAAGAACAGGAGAAGAGGAGGAAGAACAACGAGGAGGATGAGGTGGAGGAGGCAAGCGTCGATGGGTCGGGTTTGAATTACGATTCGGACGAGGCGATGGAGAATAATAAAGTGGAGGACCATGCAAAGAACGCTGGAAACAACTCGAACACAATCAGCACTGTCACCGGTATCGATCAGAAGGGGAAAAAGAAAGGGCTTCCTGCTAAAAATCTCATGGCTGAGAGGCGTCGTAGGAAGAAATTGAATGACAGGCTCTACATGCTTAGGTCTGTTGTTCCAAAGATTAGCAAGGTGAGAATCTCTAAGGTCCATGTTCCTTTTCTTATTTTTCCTGGCAAGATCTACTTTGGTTGTTCTCTCCAGGTAAATGCTTCGTTCTATGCAGGTGTTGTTCTTTTAACTTCGAACTAATAGTTTTACTTTTCTTCCTGTTTTTACATGTTACTCTACTCGTAACTCATATTTTATCGTCTCGGATGAATGGCCGCTCGCATTGAAAATTTAATAATTTCTTTATGTCAAGCATGTTCTCTTTTGAGCATTCTGCAAAGAAATATCCAGCATCTAGCCCCACATGATTTTTTCCTTATAACAAATGCTCTTCCCTTTTCTTGTGTCAGCCTTTCTAACTTCTCTTTTAAATCATCTAAACTGAATGGACCTTAGTGGTTAAAGAACAAAGCAAATATTTTTGAAACAATACTTGATATTCGTTTAAGGCCTGGTAAATTCATGGGAGATGGGTATTGATAAAAAAAAATCGTGGGAGGTGGAGTAACTATACTCAGTCAAAGCTAAGTTTGTTGTTTTTTGTTTTGCCATGTTTTAGTAGCAAACTTTGGAATGGGGGATTGGAACTTTGAAAACTAAGTAATGGGATTGCATTTTCTTCTTTAAACTTTATTTGAGATAACCTCAAAATATTCAACCATGTGCTTTAACTTTTACAAACTCATTGGCTTTTCAAAAAATGGTGAGGAAATAAGATTTGCACTGCGGACTTAGGGTATGTGAAGCCCTTGTTCATTGCCAGCCACAAGTTGGTAGTTTGAAAGCTTCATAAAATTTGTTTCCCCTTTGATAAAGTGATTATATACAAGTTTAATTTCCAGTTGTTGCCTTGACAGATGGATAGAGCCTCAATCCTTGGTGATGCAATAGAGTACTTGAAGGAGCTTCTGCAAAGGATCAATGACCTCCACAACGAACTAGAATCAACACCTCCTGGTTCTTCACTGCCACCTAGCACAAGCTTCCACCCTTTGACACCCACTCTTCCTACCCTTCCCTGCCGTGTCAAGGAAGAGCTCTGCCCAAGTTCATTGCCAAGTCCAAATAGCCAACCTGCAAGGGTAAATAAATTAGACTTGCCCCAAGAAAAGAAGTTCTTTGTCTGTGCAGACTCGTTTCAATGCTTGCTGTTTAAACTGCCATACTCTGTCCTGTTTGCATTTGTGCATAAGTTTTTTTTTCTTTTTCTCCTTCAATTTGTTTATATTGTCTTGATAAACTGTGCAGTAGCCAATATCTTTGATATTGCAAATATATGTGAGTATGCTTTTCAATATTGCAAAAAAAAAAAAAAGTGGCGGAAAAAGAAAATGCCATTGGCATTGTATAGGTTCAGCTTTTCACAAGGGTTTTACTTTTGGTTCTTCTTGCATTTCAGTGCATAAGTTCATAAACTCAAATGGAGTCACGTCGAAAGTGTTAACAATTTACAGAAATGAGTCAGTTCAAGATTTCAAGAAATGATGTGTATATCTTTATCAGTTAGCTGAGTCCATTAAGATGATGAAATTGTTGGTTTAACCGTTTAAATTTGAATAGACCCAGGTGCTTCCGAACACCCCATCGTCGATTCTAGTTAATGCTTAAAAGGTCTAAAAGGCCATCACCTAATATTGGTCCTAGCTACCTGGGGTCTTGGGAGGGGTGAACTAGATATGGATTTAACCAATGGTATTGTTTATTTATTTTCTGCACAAAGTGTTTGCTCTCAAACTCAAACCCATATTCTCATGATTGTCAGCCTGAAATTTTACCATTACACCAAGCAATGGCCCCTTAATGCTTAAAAGGCCTATGGATTAGAAATGCTTGAAATGTGACCTACTAGTAGTAAATATCTCTAATGTCCATGCAGAATGTGAATAATGGGATACCCCACTGTCTTTACTGTAACACCCAACATTCCTGTCAACTTGGAAATGCTTGGATAATTTTGATGGTATGATTAGGGTTGAATTCCCTTGTATAGGGCTGATTGAATGGGCCATATGTGGATTGTGGTTTCCACAGTACTTCACTTTTACTACTGTTAGCTATGTATTAGGCTATCCATTTTGTTTTTGCTGTTTAATCTTGTATATGGTATCTCAGTTTGGATTGATATTTTCTGTTTTGTTCGATTGAATGCAACCATGATTTACAATAACCAAAACGAATAATTCTTATTTGTTGCCAATTATCTATATTTGTAGGTTGAAGTCAGGGTACGAGAAGGAAGAGCTGTGAACATCCATATGTTTTGTGCTCGCAGGCCAGGTCTCTTACTCTCCACCATGAAGGCTCTTGATACCCTTGGGCTAGACATCCAACAGGCTGTCATCAGCTGTTTTAATGGCTTTGCTCTGGATGTTTTCCGAGCTGAGGTATGCCTCTCTTTCAACATGTCCTTATTTTATAAGGTTAGCTAGGGTAGAACTGATATTGTCATGGGTGCAATTCTCAGCATCTTCTGATTACCATATGGACTCAACACTGAAGTTTGAATTTTGCTCTCCATTCTTAGGCCCCGTTTGGTTTGCGGGAATAGGGGTCTGGAATGGTCTATTCCGATTCCAACTGGTTGGTTGGGTGGAATCGGTATCTCGATCCCATTCCTGCTGGAATGTCATTCCCCCATTTGAGGGAATGGCCATTCCCTGCCCCAACTTGGGAATGAAATCCCATTCCTGCTGATTTCAATTTTCATCCCCATTCCGGCTGATTCCAATCTTCATTCCCACTCCTGTCTGAACCAAACAGACTATCGGAATAGACCATTCCGATTCCAATTCCGACTGCAAACCAAACGGACCCTTAATGAAATAAGATGAAATCCATGGTACCACTTTCACAAATATATGAAGAGAAATGCGGGGAAGTGGGTATTACTACTTAATGCCTGCTTAAGTGAATCTGATATGCGTCCTGTTTGATCTAGTTGCATGGTTCCAATCCAACTTTCAAGTTTGTACGATGTATCATTGTTAAGTGCGCGTTGGAATTCAATTATCTTAGATTTACCAAGATATATTAAAAGATGTCTCATTTCCTTTTTTTCCATTTATATTATCAGCAATGTAAGGAAGGCCCAGACGTCCCGCCTGAGGATATCAAAGCAGTACTGTTGAATTCAGCCGGCTTCCATAGCATGATATAGCTGTCACCCAATGCTCAAGGACTTGCAGCGATCTTTAGCGGGTGGTAATAGTCTGTAAATGCAATTTAGTAGGATAGGAGCCTCTAAGCAGCTCAGTAATTTGGATAATGTTGGTGGGGGCCAATTCTCCTTTGAATTTGATCCGGCAATTTAGTTTTAAAATAAAAAATCTCCTTTTGATACAATATATTTCCCATGCATTTCTTTCTGCTTACAATTTCGCAAGCACATTACATCGTTTTGCTGGCCACTGTTGGGGAGGCTTGCATCTAACACAACAAGCTTTTCAGTTGTTAGGGTCTTAGTAGAATTTGTTTTACCTATTTTGTAAAAGCGAAGTTCGTATTTGGTGTAGAATACTGGAATTTGCCAAGTGCAATTTTTTCTCCAAATTTCAGTATCACCGTCAAATTAATATTTTATAGTTAATAACTTAATACAGTGGTGGGGGGTCATCATTAATCATTTCTCATGGGCTTGGGCCATGATCAAGCTTGTACTTCATTGACCTTGACCGAGTAGAATTTGAGTTGAGGCAATACTAAAGTTTTACTTTCCACGTTGTTTCTTTTTCTCTTGTAGTTGCAGGACAATCTCCCAATCTTTATAAAATCTGAACGAATCAGAGTAGAATATAGAAATGTACTCGGTTTCCACTGTACAGGGCTTTTTAAGTTTTGTTTCTAGCGTCTTTTTCGAATTTTCATCCAAGTGGGGTCGTTAATTTGATTGTGGCCAGAGAGCTGGCTATGTGGTCTTCCTCTGTAGTCTTATATAGTCTCTCTCTCTCTCTCTCTCTCTCTCTCTCATGAGAAGAGAAAACGTTAATGCAATCGAATGAGAATTTATAGTCCGACGTTGTACTCTGCCAACGCTGTGCTATTATCGTCCTGATTTGCGTTTGCGGTTCCCTTCATTTTTCAATATTCATTTGCGGTTCCCTTCATTTTTCAATATTCACCAGAATACTTCCAAGCCCTAAAAGAAATGTGGTATTACAGGTGAAAATAATTGGGGAAAGCCCAAAGGTATAAATGTTGTGTTGTGATAATAGATAATACCATGCATGTGTACTCAAATTCTATACACTACAAATGTATGCATGGATCATACAAAAGAAATGCATGCTACTTAAAAGTTAAAAGCTTCATTCATAGTTTGGTTTGATAAAAAATAAAAAATAAGCTAAGAAATCAGTTGAAAAGACTTGTGTAATTGTTAATAATTCAATACGTTTTCTTTTGTTAAATATTGCAAAATGAAAACGCTTTTTGTTTATATTTTTATTGAAAAGCAATCCTTTCAAATATATAAATTGGGTTCATACATATATACAAAGTTGATGTTTCAAAACTTTTTCTATTTAGGCAGAAAATACTAACTTATTTCTAGGGGATCTCTTAATACATCTTTTTTTCTCTCTCTTTTCAAAATCTAATCTTTGTCAAGTTTAGACACTGAACACGAATAGACATGCCTTTTATCTGTCAATTGATGATAGAGATAAGCATGCCGATAGATATTTGTCCCTCAAACTTAAAAATGATATTAGCCAATGACCTAGTGACTAAACCCGGTTGCACCTTTAAAGTTTTTAACCTAGTCAATGGATTAATGGTTAGGTTTTAAATGTCTTTTTGTGTTTTTATCCATTTCAGTTATTAATAAAAAAAAATCTYCATTTACTATACTTATTATTATTCAATATGATGAATATATAATATTATAAAAATGGTCAATTTTTTATTTAAGATTTTGTATTCGTGTAATATAATTATGTACATATGTATACACAGTTTGGATTTGTATTAGCTTATAATTAATAAATTCAATGTTCTATGCTTATATAAATTTATTATATATGTATAAGTTTAATGTTAACTAATTTTTTGAACTTTTTTATATTTCTTTATTTTTAACCACAGTAAAGTTTACCTGGATCCAAATCCAATATGTCAGATTTTGAATCAGATTTGGGTTTGAAATTTCAATAATCAAATTAGATTCAAATGTGGTTGGATTTGATTTGTACCTAACTCAGCTGTAGCCCTATAAACATGGTCAATGTTGATTTTTTTTTTTTTTTTGCATCTATATCTATTTTTTGCATTTAGTGATTTACTACAAGCTGAAGTGCCTAGAAGGGCTAGGGGGTACAATAAGAACTTGGTCAGAAGTAGTAACATCAATAATTTAACAATGAATATGAAATGGCAAAGCAGGATGATGAGAAGGCTTGTAGACAATCCGATGTAGTTGAGAGAAGGCTTGGATGATGATGATGATAATGATCTATTTTCATATTTTTTGTTGTATGATTTATGATGACATGGGCTAAACGGTTCAATTATTGATCTACCATAAGCTAAGACTACTAAATTACTAATGTCAAGCCAATCCTTTTTTATATGCAAAATAGATCAATGGCACACTAATCATTTATTTGAATAAATTGTTTGTGTATGTGATATTAGAATTTGAAACTATAGACGACTTTAATAGTTTATATTTCTTTTATAGATATATGAATCCTTTTCTTGAGTATTAGATTAATATAAAATTACATTTAAAGAAAACTAATAATAACAATATAGGTTATTTTGGTTAATGAGCCAATTAGTCTAATTGATTTATTTATTTTTAATATTGTTAGCCATCTAATTTTATAGTCAAGGATTAAAGTATTGATATGATACACCCTATATTTAGCATATCGTACTTCTATTGATTCCTAGAGATATGTATAAATGCATCAATGTAGAAGTACTTTAAAACTTTAGGCTGCATTTAGAAACGATGCAAATGGAGTGTAAATCCCAGTTCAGGGTAAATTTGCACTCTGGTTCACTTTTGTCTGTGTTTGGCAACATTACATTTATGCATTGACAAATGACAGATCAATGCATATTTACATTGATAATAAGATGTAAACGTACATCCATAAAAAAGAAGTAAATTTGCATTCAAGTGGGCTTTTGATAAAAAAAGCTTTATTGGATTTCATGTTTGCATCCATTACAGCTAAAAGTCTGTTTAGTAAGAAAGTAAATTTATCAATGCAAAACTAACCCAATTTTATAATTTATATGAACAGTTTTACATTCTATACATTTGCATTCACACTTATTTGCATAATTTCCAAACACAGCTTTAAAAACATTCCATGCATTTATCACAATGCTCTAATGATTATTAAATAAAAAAAACTTAAAATAAGTATCAATCGTTATCATGTCTATACGTAACAATATTGTTATTTTAATCCTTATTTGTGTTAATATTTGTATTTAAATTTTATTAAATAAAACTATAAATATAATAAATAGAGCACCGAATTAATGCCATATTAAAGGAAGGGATAATTAGTGGCAATTGACAATTGACTTATTAATGTCTCTCATACTTATCTTTATGATATAGAGAGAGAGGTGCATAAGAGAGCAAAGAAGGGCAATTCAAATGAATAAAAAAAAGACGATATATAGAGAGAGTAAATATATGGAAAACATTCCGTGGTGACCGAAACCGAGGGGACACCCTAACTTGCCACCTGCTTCATGTGTTAACAACGAGGACTCACCTTTAGAAAGGTGTGAAGTGAGTCAGATTTGACAATCCATACGGATGTCAGTGATAATTCCATATCGATGGTCATATTATTCTGATCAATTTATAACATAAAGGATGATTTCATCAAATGGTGGGTCTTGTCGCGTAATTGGCTGTTCAAACTTTTACATTGTAACCGCCTGATTATTTGAAGAAACTTTGACTAACTTTTCTTCCTGATCCCGCCTTCCTCCGTGCAGCACTGCAGCCTCCACTCAAATACAAGTTATTTGGTTTGTAGTCGGAAAATCGGAATTGGATAAGGAATAGTCTATTCCTTCTGTTTGTTTGATTTTGGTGGAAATTAAAATCAGAACCAGTTAAAATTAATTCTCATTTCTAATAGAGGAGGATTGCCATTCTATCTTGATAATGAAAATGAAATTCTGATTTTACTTAACTAAACGATTGGTCAGATTCCAGTTTTAGACCTCATTCCTACGAAGCAAATCTTGGAATGTTTGTATGTAGGACTTGGACTGAAGAGCCGTGGGAAGTGATGATGCGCATTTCAGTGGTTTCTGGCTGACAGGTGATTTGGATGCTTGGTTGAATAATCTTTATCTGGAGTGTGGTTTGGATGCCTGGTTGAATGGTTCCTACCTAGAAGGTGGTTTGGACGCCTAACTGAATGGTGACGAGTTGGAGAGGTGGCTCTGATGCTTAACTGAATGGTGATGAACTAGAGAGGTAGCTCTGATGTCTAGTTGAGTGGTGACAAGCTGGAGAGGTGGCTCTGATGCGACCTACAAGGACATAGTATCAAAGTGCCTGGGTTGCTTTACCTGGGGAGGACACTGTGATGCTTAAGTTAGCGAATTAGAGACTTTAAGATAGCTAAATGTGAGAGAACTGGAGAGCTGCGAGAACTAAACTGTGCCTGCCCTGGGGTTGGAGGTAAGGCCTTTATATAGGCATTGTTTGGCATGAGCATCATGCAACACGTCTGGGATCTCCGGGAGGACGTGCCTAACTGCTCTGAAGTCCTCGGAGGTAGTCGTGCATGTAGGCCAATCTTTGTGCCTTACTCGGATTCTCCCAAAACATTCGGTGTGAGAGCTGACTTCCGAGAGACTCGAGAGTGATGGGATGCATGCATAAATCGAYAGCGAGCACGTCTTGTAGGTCGCCAGGTCGGCGCTAGAGGCAGGTCGCCAAGTTGGCGGTGGAGGCAGGTCGCCAGGTTGGCAACAGGGGCAGGTCGCCACGTCGGCACTAGAGGCATGTCACCAGGTCGGCACCAGAGGTAGGTCGGCGACAGTGCCAGGTCGCTAGCTGGGACTCCATCATTTTGGCTAAGGCTAGTTGTTGCCTAGGTGGTTCTAGGGGTCACCTAGTTGTTTTGATTTGCCATGTGTCATGATGTTAGTGGAGGGCCAAATCTGCCCTCATCAGGAAGAATTGGAAATTCGAATCCTTTATAGTAAGGTTTGTAAAATCGAACCGGACAATCAACCATTCACGGGTTTGGTTTTTGGGTCGAATAGTCTGATTGTTCCAATCGAACGGATGGTCCATTTTGACAAAAGAAATTAAAAATAATAAAACATGGTTAAAACTGCTGGACGGTTTGAAC